CTGGTTCTTTGGATGGAAGGTCGAGGTTTGTTCTGTTGATGTCTTCCGGTATATCGTTTGAACTGGTAAATAGGGGCACTCAGCCTAAACACAAGGTAGATTATAAGAAAGACCTGCTGAAAACTATGTTAAAGGGAAAGTATAGTCTTACCAATGTTTTTAGATAAATGTGACAGATCTTAGCTTGATGTAAATGTTTTTATCAATACATGTTAGTGTTTTAAAAACACTGCTTCTATGCATAATTTGTAATTTTTTAGGTACATGAGGGTAGCTGTATTTGCTTATTACATATGCAGACTTTGCTTCCTGCTTTGTAGTGCTGCACAGAACAAATCTAGGAGTCACTGAAAACAATGCACTACCTGTGTGTCTGGTAACCTTTCTCAACAGTTGATCTAAATGCTAAAAGGGTAACAGTTTGCTAAAAGCACTGAGTATCATATATTTTTTTTTGTTCATAAAATACTGTTTTCACCTTTTTTGCATCTCAGTGCTTATACCCTCTATCATCTTTCAGCCACTTCCCGTCTGCATGCACTTACTCCATTTTCAAATGCACATTATTGATCTGCACCAGCTTCCTGACAGTGACACCAGTAGACCATGCCTGTGCAATGTGTGTCAGCATGTCTACTTGTAGTCTACATCATGGGTGCATGTTCCATGGAGACAATGCAATAAGGAAAGAGTTGTCACTTCATGGCAGGAAGTGCCTGAACAAGGGCTTTAATGGTAGGATCACCAAATATTCTTTTAATGAAATCTTATAATGAAAACTTTTGAAGTTTCATTTACACACAAAGGCTTTTATGAAAATAATGACTTGGTTTTCATCTACTAGAGAGAACTATGGCCCAACCTTTGTTTGCCATAGTTCTCTTTAGGGTCCAATAATTAGGGTCTCCCCATAATTCTCCTTCAAGCAGGGAGGGTCAATCCTTGTGGCAACTAATCTAATCTGCCTCTAGTGGCTAATCTCTATATTTAAAAGCATCACAAAATCAAGAAAGAGCAAGCATGTAAAAATGTATACGTCACATAAAAATTGCTGTAACATAAACACTGCAATATTAACACAAAATATGTTCTCAATACAATACACCATACTTTCCCTTTTTATATGACAGTGAGTTATAAGAATGTAATCCGAGAGTAAAGTGTTATTATTAGGGCAATATTTTACTGCACACAATAGACTGGCCCCAGGGCCATCCCTATAATGAGACATCTAATTGGGTCACATGGGAGCCCCAGAGCTTAGTAACCTGTGATGCTCTGGCTGGCATCCTGCCCAGCTCACTGACGTTACTGTTTGGCAGAAGTGGAACGGGACGCTCTAGCTTCCATCCCGCCAAGCTCTTGGCAACCAGTGACGTCAGTGAGCTGGGCAGGACACCGGACAGAGGATCCGAGGCCACCCCACCCAGAATGAGCACCAGTCCCAATGGAGGATATGTCTATGATGGCCAAGCATATTGCGAGCCAAGATTGAAATGGCTGCTAATGTAAGACAAAAGTTGCAAACAGCTACACAACAACTGTTAAATATCTCATTATCTGTTAGTGTGTGAGGACATTTACTTTAGTGTATCTTATGCCTTTTTATGTACATCAACATGTGCTTTAGGTACAGTGACCCTTCATATTACTGATTATGTCCTTAGCCTTACGACTGTAGCTAAAGTTTCTAATCCTAAATTTAAATACACAATTGTGGACAGTATTATTATACACATAGACTAGCTGGATATAGTATAAAGCACAACAGGCCATGCCAATCTATCAATGAAGTTAGAATGCTTCCTTTGGGCCTTAATTGATATGTCGTCTATTAGACTGTTTGTTGCTTAGAAATGTTCCATTTGGATAAATCCAGATCTGCACATATATAGTTTGTGTACCAATATCCAAATGTTACTAGACTACAGTTGTGGGAATGTTGTTAGCATTATTGGAGGACACCATTGCTTATGTGTTAAGTCATTGCAAGGAACTGTAAATGTTAGGTTTGCAGATATCTTGGTATGTGTAAGAAACAGCTGATACCAATCCAATATAACCAGCCTGATGTACAGTAGGAAACAGGAAGTCAGGATTTCCAGGTTTTAGACATTTGGGAGACCCATATGTATTTTACCTACACTTGCCTACATTAGGTTCCTCTATAGATTCATGCATTCATTTTTACCTTTCTTGGTTCTCTCTACAATATGAAGGTTATGTAGCAAAAATGATTCATATGCAACTACTGGATGGTCCTCCTGAGAGATGGAACGTTCCTCAGAAGTTCAGATAGCCGTTACTCTAAATGAGGAATGTTTATGTCTTTCTAAAGTTAATTTGAAAAAGGAACATGCAAATTAGCCACTTGAACAAAAAGAGTCTTCTACAGGTGACACCACCAAAAATGGTTTTGATTTGGCTAGATGAATCACATACTGTCATCTTGTATTTCACAGGAACTCCTGTTGTGAGGAATGCTCACTTGAATAATCAGTTCTGTCCAACTAGCACAGATTTAAACAAAAACAAAGGTAAATAATGGTGTCACACTGCCCAGAAAGAATATCTTTAATATGCTACTGAGTGACACCCTCATTAGAGCCTTGTGGAAGATAGAGAAGAAACATAATACTGTGGGAGAAGCTCCCCACTGGTGTCTAAAATAAATATAAGATGCTGACGGGGGAGTTAATCCACTGGTGCACACCCAAAACTACTATTTTAGTTTTGAATGCCATTTGCCTATTTATATGACAGTGAACAATTTATCAGATATTTTGAATCTGATAAAATCTGATTCTGATATGAAAAGTCTACCTACCAGCAGCCTGTTTTATCCTTGCAGCTACCTCAATAAAGAAATAGCAGTGCCAGTATAAAGAACGTATTTAGTGTAGGGGTTGCAAGGGTCATATTTTTTTTTTACCTAGCAGTTTAATGAAAATCAATTCACATACTCACTGTTTTGTAGTAATCTGATATTTAGCCCCTGTTCACACCTATGCTACAGGGGAACTCGTGCAAAAAAATCGCACACATTTACGCAGCACACAAAATGAATATCTTTTTTGTAGACACAGTACAGTGCCATTCATTCTCAACGGCACCACAAACTTGCCTGCCAAAGCATGTCCATTGTAGCATGCCAAGAAACCCGGAACAAAAGTACCATGCTTTTTGGTGCAGCACATTTTTAAAGAAAGGTATGCACACTCTCTTGGTGTGATTGTCACGTGTTGTGCAGCCTGGTAAAAAAATGGACTGGCCAAACATGCCACACCTAAATGTCCCTAAAACGTGCAAACCTACGCACGCACAGGCATGAACCAGGGCTCACGCTGAACACCAAACCCATTCATTGAGCAACAGAGGGATGTTCAGCTTGTGGAATGTTTCTAAATATGGTATGAACATTCTAAATGTGAATGCGTATTAAATCTGTAGTACCGTATAAGCGGTGGGGGAATCCTCTGCTTCAGCCAATAATATTATTACAATGGTGTCAGTATTCTGGCTTTTTGTTTAGTTCTTATAAAGGAGCCACTACTGGTCTGTTAGCTTCACTGATGGATCCATGACAGATTTCATCTGACCTTCAATTTAGGGGTCAGCATTGTATGCAGTGCCTGCCATCATGGGGCTCCCAACTCACTGAACTACTAATTCTGCAACCAATACAGATTTTTTTTTTTGCTGGAAAGACTACTGTAAGTAAATCTGAACTCATCACATTTACATAACAGTGGTTTTGGTGAAGTATAGTTTTTAACCTCTCCTCCACACAATACAAATAACATTTCTGAAAAATCTGTGAATTAACAAAAGTGACTTATTTGCAAGTTGCAACTTTTTTTTTTAGTGATCAGTTTAGAGCAGGGGTCTCAAACCTCCGGCCCTCCAGCTGTGGTGGAACTACAAATCCCATGAGGCATTGCAAGATTCTCACAGCCACAGACATGACTTCCAACGAGAGATGCATCATGGGATTTGTAGTTTCACCACAGCTGGAGGGCCGGAGGTGTGAGACCCCTGGTTTAGAGGAATCCCTGTTTCAGTGAGGCCTTCGGGGTAGCAGAAATTACTATAGGTAACAAAAAATCTTGTCTGACCATAGATATGTCTAGTGCATAAGGTAAATGGGCAACATGAGCTTCAGCAAGCAAACAGCAGATAACCCGTCTACTCTGGTGACCACACAGTCTGTGCAATTCAATGGAAGATTTCATGAGGTCACGCAGACATTGTGAAAACGAACTGTCCCTATGAAAATTCCCACTGAACCTCATATAAACAAATATATAAATTCATATATACATATGTAACTAAACACAAGCCAAGGGATGTCACGCATAAAAGTGCACTAGTGTCATAATGACTACTGAAGTAGCCCGGTCGTACTCAGTTCGGTACAGACACCAGTACACATTAATGTACAAGTCCCTTGGTGCCTGGTAGATCTGCCCTCTATTGTCTGTTCTTAATGTAGCTCTGTGTATGTTTCTATGGTTTTACCTGTATTACATTTTTTCTGTTGTGTATTTATGAGTATTTTTCATGCAATTTGTTTTCTAACTCCTGTACTCCTTCTAAACCCATGACATCATATTTACTATTAGGCTATAACTCATAACCCTTCACACTGCAGCTAAGAGCTGGGTTGGATCACATAAGTATCTATTCAAATTTCAACTTGGAGGACACAGGAAGGACCTGGGTCTGGAGCTGAGAGAAGAACTGATGACGAGGAGCAATAAGAACAGTGGCAGGAACCGGACAGAAGGATAGGAGAGCTGGAAATGTCAAGTTCATTGAGAGTTGCAGTAAAGGCCAATGCTGCGCCATTTCTGAAAAGTATCTCTGCCCACAGTGGGGTCAATTACCCAGTTTCGCCACTAAAGAAGTGACAATTCCAGAATCTTCTCAGGTGACAATAACAATACTGTATGGTTTGTCCTTCTAGGTCTTTTCCACTGACACGGAAGCTGCTATTCCACCTATATGGACACTTCGTATTCTCTTGAGTCCTGGAACGTCAATATATAAAAAGAAACAAAAAAAAAATCAAGATTATTATTATTATGTATAAATATATTTATCTGATTATCATATTCTGTAGTGCTTTACAATAGGTTTTAATTGGAAAAGTGAACTTTTCCAAGCATGATACCTTTATTAGCAACTCTGTCTGCTCTTTTAACCACCACCTCAAAAAGAGCTGCCTAAACAGCACTGTCACTGATATACAAACTTAAACTTTTAATAAAAGCTCAACATCTAAGCACTCATCTCCCTCTCTAATCACTCCCCCTGGCCTCTGGCGCTCGCTCCCATGATGGACCACAATCTCAATACAAATTAGCTAAATAAACATGAGATTGTAGTCCATCACAAGCAAGCTTGGATCGGGGACTATAACACACACAAGGACCATGGGAAACAAAAGAAGCCACCCTCCAGAAGGAAGGACAGTGTCACCACCAATCCAGAGATGATTAATAATCACCACCAATCCAGATACAGCTTAATAATACACTAAAGAGGTCCAGTATTGTTAATAGTTAAGGTACTTAAATGCATTTTTTAAGATTTATCTCCTGAGTTTAGTGTCACTTAGTGTCACTTTAAGTCTTTACCATAGAGACAAACATTGTCTCAATTGACAGGCGTTGGACAACACTCCCAGGTAATTTGAACACTTCCTGTGAAATTATATAAATGTTGCAGTGTATGGCACGCATGCAGTAAAAGATCATTGCATGGAATTGGCTACTTACTCCCGTCTCAAATGTTGGATTGTCAAACGCAGATTCCACCGTGACTTGATCGTATGGAGGAGAGGAAGAAAGTGGCAGACGTAGCAGAGCTTTTCCTTGTAGCCTGTACATAAAGAAAGGAAAATAAGCTCTTTTTACAGAGGGGGCTTGTAGTATCTGGTTTATTGTGGGCAACCACACTTGACGTTTGTGTTTACTTACTTTGAGAAATAAAGGTAGATGGCTGCGATGACAAGAGCCACCATGATAACAGGAACAAAGACAGCCAGCAGAATGTGTGTGCCTTCTACGGGGATGCCTGAAGCTGCTGCTTTCTCCACAGCTGGATGAAAAGAGCACAGCAAGATTCAATCAAGTCAGGCAGACAGCGTGTCTGTCACATACAATCTCCTCTGCGCACAGGAATCACATTCAAACATAATCCACACTGACATTTATTTAAAACAGGTAACTATTCTCATTGAACTGTGTGTAATTCCAGAACAGTGGTCATCCAAATCTAGCCACAGACATTAGGCATTCATGTGGTAGTCTGCTAACAGTATGTGGTCAATACCTGTTACAACAGTATTTAGTATATCAATTGTTTAGTATATTTTTTTTTAGTTCTCGTGACATTATTTATCATTTTCTCCACATATACATGAAGACCAAGCTGTCCAGCAAAAGAGGCAGTGGAAGTGACAGTAAAGTCACAAATGTTTTCCTCCCCCTGCCATGATGCTTTATAGACATGTGCGATTCGTTTCGGAAAAATGTGTTTCGTTATTGGAGATTCAGATGTATCAGAATTTCGGAATAACAGAAATGACGAACGAAAAAACGAATCCGAATTTCCAAAAACAAAATTTCGGACGAAATTCGTTAGCTGTAGTCTGCATGAATTTTCGTTTCAGCAAAGTGAACATTTTTAATGTCACTTTGCTGCAACGAAATGAAACATCATACAGACTACTGATAACAAATTTCGTCCGAATCCCAAAACGAATTGACTTTCGGACCCGAATCCCGAAAAATAAAATAACGCAAAATTCGAATTGAAACAAAACAAAAATTTTTTTTGCTGGTGCACATGTCTACTACTTTAAGGACTTACCTGAAATGACTCTTTAAGGACTCTTGATCTGATCATCTTCCTACTCCCACTTTCCTCCAGTGCTGGTGCCGGTCTCTGATCCAGCGCAGACTCGTGGGGTCCCACGGTGTCTGTACACTTCTGGCTGCATGCATTCAGCTCCTCTGTGTCTCTCCTCTTCTCCCCGCCGAAGATCTCTACTGCGCATGCACCTACCCCATCATCCTGCAGGGCCCCTCCAGAGTCCTTAGATCTTAAGACGGGAGCGAGCGGCAGAGACAGAGGTAAGTATTGACCTTTTTGTTAACCTTTTTATTTATTTTTTAATGTTTTTGCATATATCTACTGCTTGCTTGCATTTATATATGCAAAAACAAAGGAGACTTTAATTCTACTTTAAGGCCCATTCACATCAGTCTGATCATTTGTGGTGCACATTATGGCGTGCGTTAAATTGCGTTAAGGCAACCTATTCATTAAATTGTGCGGCCCAAACACATCCTGACAGATCTTTAACAGTGCAGGATGCATTTTTTTGTAAGGCAGCACCACGAAATGCACAGTAATGTGTTACCATCCATTGCAGAGATGTGTTGGGGTGCCATTCAAATGACACTGCAATGCACCAATACATGTAATGCAATGGTGTTAATGTGCTTAATATAATGCAATGGTGTGAATGGGCCCTAACAGGAGGTTGAGATAAGCTACATATCACATATCACTGCTGGAGGGGAAGGGGGTCTTACAAAGGTCACTTTTCATTCATTTGGACTAACGTCCATTCAGAATTGCAAGTCGATCTAAGACTACACTGTCCACAGGGTGACAATGCTGCAGTGATTTCGTTGGTGAGCGAACAGCGTTGTCACCCTGTTAAAGGAATAGGAAAAATAATGGATCTACAAGCAGGATCAATGAGTAATAAACTATGTTCTGTGGGGACTAATGAAAAACAGAAATGAAGAGTTAGATGTGTTACAAAATCTAAAACAGGAAGCTTCGTGTGGCTAGAACACTACTGATCTAAATATTTACAAAAGACACTGCAGAGAATTTATCAAAACTGGAGAAAATGTACATGGCAGCCAATCCGCTTCTTTCATTTTACATTCCCCACACTTGGGGGAATTTTTAAAATCTCAAAAAGAGACACATTTACATAAAACAGCTACTACGATTACTGTCATAACAGCCCCTTTACAAACCGGATTCCACATTTGTTCTCCCTACTGGCCCCTTAAATGAGATTTGTGCCCCATTTGAAATCTCTCTTAAGAAGATCCATTATAAAAGATCAAAGGAAAAAATAACATAAAAAGATAAAAGAAATTGACAGCACAGACCAAAGTAAGACCGCGTGAAAAAAGTAAACTAAACCTTTTATCTCCTAGAAGCCAATCTAAAGAAAATTTTGTCTTCACTGAGTAAGCACCAAAACACAGAATACTGTCAACAGGCACCCCAAGGGCCGCACAGTAAATGGCAAAGGGCAGCTGGTTTGGCACCAGGGATCTACAGACTCAGAAATCTCATTTCCTATTTGTGTTATTGGCTCACTGCTTTTCTCCAAAGCCTGTGGTAAACTGTATACAAGGTTTTTAGAAAACCTTTTACAGATTTATATACTTTTGTCTTATCATGGCCTTTCTTACTGATTTCTGAACGGGAGGATCTGCCTTCATTATAATCACTTGAGCAATCTCAATTTTGTGAAGAGAAAAAAAAAGCTGCAGCGTCTTCAGTCTTTAAGGCGAGGATGATCCTTGGAGAGCGTCTCACTCAGAATAAAAGAGGATGTCTGAAATTTGCTGGTATCTCAGTTCAGACATATGGGAAAGGCAGTGAGCCAATCACACAAGCAGTAAAGGACATTTACAGGGTTATTCACTAAGCTGCCGAAGGCAGCCGAGTGAATAACCGAGCCAAAGTGAAGTGAGCTGAGCAACGTTCGGCTAAGTACGGCTGATGTCAGCCGTACGTCGGCTGAAATCAGTCGTACATCGGCTGCACTTCGGCACAGAAGCTGAGCCGAAGCTCAGGCAGCTCACTCACTGCCGTTCGCCCCTATACTCAGTACCTCTGTGGTACTGAGCAGAATCGAAAATCAATGAAAAAAGTAAACAAAAACAACAAAAGTTGAAAAAAAGATATTTAAAATGTAAATAAATATTACAAAAATAAAGATTTAAAAAACAACAATTGGACGGAGCTAGCAGCGACCAATGAATAACAACTGTGCGCCCAGTTGTTATTGTTTAATGACAGTTCAACGTCCCCAGGTCATTTGGGGACGCTGATCTGTCATTACAACTGGGCAGAGCCAGCTGGGAGATCATGGTTGGCTCCGCCCAGCTGTCATTTGCGAGGCGTACGGCCAGCCGTTCACCCTGCTTTCCCTGTCACTTCGGCTCAGTCAAGCCGAAGCATATGCCTTTGGCTCGGCTGAGCCGCTCGGCCGCCTTTGGCGGCTGTACGGGCTATAGTGAATATAAAAAAACTGAACCGAAGGGCTCTCGCAACCGAAGCTAGCCGGAGGATCAGCCAAAGCTATGGCTGGATCCTTCGGCATGCTTTGTGAATAGACCCCTTAAAGTTTTTGAGAGTTTGAAAACATTACAGCATATGCAGAATGAAATGAAAAAGTAATCTTCTATAAGATTATATTATAAAATGGTTTGTGAAGTAATCATATCATGTCCTATATATTTTTTTTTTAGTAAGTGAAATTTCCTTTTAAGGGTAACTATAATGGCTTTGGTTACCTTTTTTATATTGTTTTTTTTTTATTTATCTATTTTAAAACAATTGTTATGTATAGATATATATAGATGTCTATAGATACATCTATATACAATATTTACAAATATAGATTTAATACACAACAAAGGATTTCTGAAGCACTATGAGCTAACTAAGTCTTTACTGTCAACTAGTTGGTTAGTTCAATAACTTTCCTCCTTGGGTACCCTTCACGTAGCAATAGAAGCTAACTAAAAGACAGTGTTTTAAAAGGATTAACCAAAGCAAGATTTTTTATACCTGCCCAAGACAAGTATGTTCGTTCAAAAATAAGCTTTCCACTATCCAAAACAGAGATAGAGGCAAATTGGGGACACATAAAAAAAAGATTAGAGCATGTAAAGGCTGGTGGCAAGCTAAGGCACTATGCCTAGTTTCTTTTATCTCTTTTGCTGGCTACTGTTTTGTTCTGTTGCGCTAATCTGTTAAATCTAAAGGCATAGTTCTGAGCAGTGCAAGCTTTGATATGTTATCTTAGCAGTGTAACACAATGTACCTGAAGACTTTTTAAACATGTTGTCTACTATGATTTTATCTTTTTATATTTGGGAAATTTCTATTGGGACTAGGTCCATAGTGCATTATAACTGGGGCTTTTTTGCCGGTACTAGTATTAATCAATACACCAACTTAAAATAGCAGATAGTTATTCAATCAATGTCAAAACATCATAGAGGTAGGATAAAAAGCCTTTCTGTGCGTACAGAACCTCCATAGGGGGTTCAAATTCAACTGTACGCACGGGTAGGCTTTTTATCCTTTGTTTATGATGTTTAAAGAATGGGTGCCACCATTGCTAGAGGGAGAAAGCGCACTGCGGTAGGTGAACTAACCCTTTAAGCCATAACACTGACTCTCTAGCTTAAAAGTAAAGTCCACCTTTAAAAAAAATAAAAATAAATACACTTCTTCATAAAAGAAAAAAATGACCATTTATTATTATTTTGCACTGGCGCCAGTAAAGCATTGCAATCTCGATCCATGGAACGCGGGTGCAATGCTCTGGCTCCTGCAGATTCTCACTCCCGCCTCTGTTTGTACCGAAGTTTGGATATTCAATAACATGAATAGGAGGAAGAATGAATGGACTACAAGTGCGGGGACATCACCATGTTTCATGTTACACCCTACATATGGGTGTAACATGAAACATGGCATACACAGGGCCACTTCCTGCCTACACCCACTTACTCTAGCAACAGCGGCACATCATTGCTCTAAACCAGGATAAACTTGCAGTAAATGTTCAGTGAATGTCACATTCTCTGATTCATAAATATACCACTAAACCTATTATACAAAATTTTGACCATCCATGAACACAACTGTTTTTTTTTACCTCGTCCTTCTACCTGACTAGTGTACATACGTTTAGCTATAACAATAAGCACATAATAAGCATGCATGGTGTCAAACACAAAACCTAATTTTTAAAATATTACTTACCTTCTATACCCTGATTGCTGTAAAATTCTTTATAGGAAGCTAGGAAAGGAAAAAATAATATTCATCATGTTACTAGGAAATTTTATTTGCATCATTTCACACACACAAGCTTACTCAACTGTACAAAAAGCATTGATGATGTGCTTAGAGAGGTATCCAAACCAATCAGGTTTCACTTTCTGTTGCCAGATATCATTTTTGTTTGGCTTCTATAGCTCATGGCATATACTGAACGTTTTGGTTCAACCTATAAACTTGATTATTTATTTTTATTGTATTACTTGTGCAAATTAAGACAGAGAAACATACACAACCTATAATACATATGTAATGTATTAGGTTTTACATGCTGTGTATAAGAACAATGCAGTTCTTACAAATGAACAAGCTTACCTCCTGTTGTCCATTGGTACAATATAAAGACTATTGCTATTGTTGTTTACATACATGAGAATAATACATGTACCGTTTTGGAGCAATTTTACAGGAGTTCTTGATCCCCAGAAGCTAAGCCAGAAAGTGTAAGGGTAGATTTAGGACCAGGAACTCCAGATTATTTCAAAGTATTCTGTCTTATTCCTGAGCTAAGATGTCAATTTGTATAATGGGAGAGCAATGTTTATTACCTGCTTGCATTACGATAAAGATGGAGAGGACTGACGTTTCCAGGTTAGTAGTATTATTGTTTTGGAGGGAATCATAGGAGGGAATCAGCCCGGGTACGAATTTAGAGATCTCCAAAGATGCCAAGACGGCAATTTCTGGGGTTGGAGATGTTGACAAGTCCTAGAGTAGTCTCTATGAAGCTACTGTACTTCAGCCAAAGGTGTTGTGCATTAGGTCTCATTCAAGCACAAGCATACCATTGTGGTACGTTGATACACATGCGTTAAGGTATGTTGCATTGCCAACACACCACATGATAAAAAAACTAACATGACCCTTCTTAAAAAACACAGTGCACCACAATGCATGGTATATGAGTTGTGGTGCGCTATGGTATTTTGGGTTCTACTGTACAATGCATTGGGCTGCCATTCACAATGAATGGCACTGCAACGCACCACACATAGAGCACGTGTGTTGCCATACAAGGATGAAACACACGTTAATGTGTGTGTTGCCACAACACACGTGTGAATGTACCTTCAGTCTCTCATATATGAAAGTACTGTAGGTTTATGGAATGACTTGCAACATCTGTATATTGTCAAACACAACAGAAAATGGTAAATTTTTGAATTATGGTGTAGAGTATTTTATTCGTTTATACTCATCTGTCTTTAGTGTTAGATACACAGTAGCCAATCATATATTAATACAGAATCGGCATGAGATATGGGCTGAGAGCAACAGAAGCAGGAAATGATGCTAGGCACAGGAAGCCCTGCGTGCTGTTTGAACATCGTCCAACCAACACTACTACATTTTTTATTACACTTCTTTTTAGGACGCTTCCTGATGTAGATGGTAATAAAGTCAAAGGAAATAATTGTTCTGACTTGTGAAACCCAAAAGGAAATGTCTGGAGGTTTATCAGTTAGCCAACACATTATAATACATTTGTAAGCCATAAATAACGTAGTATGGAGAAATATTGGAAGGTAGAGCTGCCTTATATTTTTTTGGCATTGTACCAAAGATGCCTAGATTGGGGGTCTAAGAATAATGTTATAATTACAATGTGCAATACTGATGACTAAAATTGTTTGAACAAGGCTATAATAAATGCCAACAGCCTTTATCATCATCTATATTTATGGCAAAAATAATTATGTCATAGATTTGCCCTTTACAATGTTACCCATTTTGCCTATCTGATTTATTAGAGTTAGATGTATCAGACGGTTATTAAAAGACTGATACTACGAATGGAAATTATAGGGGGTCTTCCCATTCACATCCTTTTAGACCAGGAAACAGGACTGTTTTTTAATTTGTGAGTGGATATTCCAGCCTTTCCTAGGTTTGTATGGAAAGTGTAAAATAGCCCCCACAATACTTGAGCTCTTATAATGCCAGTGATAGCATAGTTAGATATACTAACAGACTGACATTTTAAGTGTGCTGTCATCCCATTTTGCTTTCAAAGCAAGCTTCAACTGCAAGTAACTACATTAGATTGATTCTGATAACAGCATTCCTAAAATATTTGATTTGCTTCACCGTGTTTATTTTCCCTGGACTGTCATTTCCTGGACCTGGAATCTAGTGGATCTATTCTAGTTTGATGAACAAAGAAATGTGCCACAAGCTAGCTTTGGGTTAAACATCTGTACAACTATGTCTATGCACTGCCTTGGCAACCTTTTATGCCTGCAAAGCCAGTCCATGCAGGGGTTAAAGTTACTGGTATAATTATTTAATGTTAGTTATAATTATTTTGCTTTAATGGATAAGTTCACCTTTTGCAAAAATTAAAGAAATGCCTAATTAATAATATATCTAAAAATATGAATTTATTTAATATTTGTATTCATGCCTGGAAAGCATTGCAATCGTGATCACTCGATCACAGCTGCAAAGCTCAGGCTTCTGCACATTCTCTCCCAGGCATAGCTTATATGGAGGTACGGCATTTCAGTTAGGAGAGATGGGGGAAAGGACGGCTGGACTTCAAACTGCATTAAATCACCTCATCCGGCCAGGGCCGGCCTTAGGCCTTTAGGCGCCCTGTGCGAGAAAGCTTTACAGCGCCCCTCAGTGGCCACACCCTTTAGTGGCCACACCCCCGTAACCACACCCATTTCCCCCAATATCCGCACCAATTAAAGACTCTTATTTTGTTAAGCCGCAAAGAAACATATTAAAAAGTATGATAAAAATAAAACTTTTATTCAAAGGTATTAAACTTGTAGGCACAATATTACTATTCTTATCAAATAAAACAACAGAAGGTAAACAATAAATGTCAAACTACAATAGAGTCTATAAAAATAAAGTGTCAGGATGTCATGCCGACACCCTTTTTTCAAGTAAGTGCATCTAGAAAAGTAAAAATAGAAAACAGAACACAAAACCTAGACTACATGTAAAATTAATGAATTACTATATGTCCGAATATAGGAAAAATATATTCAGGTGCATAATAATTTGTTTGAGAATGTGCGGAGGCCATGTTGCCCACCGGCGTGTTCTGTGAATGCGTGCCACTATCTCGGAGGCAGGGAGCATGACGTTACATGACGCCATGCATGCCTGGCGTCAGGTGACGTCACACGCCGATATTGGCCCCACCATCTTGGTGTATACCTAGATATACACCAAGATGGCGGCGCCATGCATCCGGCGTCCAGCCTCACTATAGGTAGAGCTGCCCATATTCCCGCATCAACCTAGAGCAGCGGTTCTCAACCTGTGGGTCGGGACCCCTTCGGGGGTCGAATGACAATTTGCCAGGGGTTGCCGGGTGTCTCCCGCTATTAAATAGTGGCTCCCGGCCGCCTGGGAGAGAAACACTTTCTCCCGGAAAGGTTTACTCTGCTTGATCGAGCAGAGTAAACCTAACATTGAGCGAGGATGGCTGGACACCGTATGAGGTGATTTAATGCAGTTTGAAGTCCAGCCGTCCTTCCCCCCATCTCTCCAACTGAAACTCCGTACCTACGTATGAGCTCTGCCTGGGAGATAATGTGCAGAAGCCTGAGCTTTGCAGCTGTGATCAAGTGATAACAATCACAATGCTTTCCAGGCTTGAATGCAAATATTAAAGAAATGCATATTTAAAAAAAAATATATTATTAACTATTTATTTTATTTTTGCAAAAGGTGAACTTATCCTTTAAGTGTTGCTTGAACATGACTATCAACAGGGGGCACTTGGCACACATTTCAGACACACACACACTGAGAGCCCCCGTCAGACATGATTGGTAAGAAGATGTATAAATGTGTTACTGCAGCCAAAACTACTCAAATTAGTAGTTTTTGATCGCACACCTTTTGATCTTTTTTATATTCTTGTACCTCCCTCATTTCATGGTTTGTGGCTGGTTTGTGCTCGGAAAACCTTTTTCTCCCAGTTCAAAATCTGCTTCCTGCCCACTCCAGTGCCCTTTGCTGGCAGAGCTGAGTAATATCCACACCCATCAGCACAAGTGTCCTCAAACAGACTTGTTTTGCAGAGAACATGAGGTGGTGTGCCTGACCAGTTCTGACTACTGAGGTAATGCACTGGGTTTAGCCCATTGGGTTGCAGAATTATATTTAATTCATTAGACAACTGCTTTAACAGGAAAGTGGAGGTAAGGCTAATATAGATTGTTTGTGCATGTGTGTATTACCTCATATCTATTTCTATTTCTTTAATTGGGCTTAAAAAAATAGACTGGTTAAAGGGTCACAGCTGCTGTCATGTTTGGGGAGATTTCCCAATACTTCCTGTCTCGTTTACTAGCATCTCTAGAACAGGAAGTGTGGTGAATTTCACCAACAGGAACATGGACAACAATAAATACCTACAGAGGTCCTGACCCTTTGCCACTAGATTAAAAGAAAGTGTTTTTATTGCTATGTGTGTCTCCATGGGAGATATCCTCTGTCTTTGTGACCACTGTCACTGCCACAGAAAGTATGAAAATCCTCCCCTAAGGAGACACAGGCACTTAAAAACCCAAGGAGCTAACTTCCCAATAGTGAATAAATTTGACCAGAGAATTGGGTTCTACTTTAAGATGCGTTAAATGAATAATATGCATGGCAAAAACTGGTATATAAATCTTGAAAAACTCAATACACATATATTGGAAATAAAAACTGGTATATGTACAATATATTATAACTAAGCTTGCATGAGCTTACCTAAAAGGGACATGCAAGTGATTCAAACGGTAGTAACTTTGAGGATGAATTGATAGAGAAGGTAAAAGTTCAGTTCTTAGGTATAAGAGAGGTAGGCTTCACTGAACAGAAGAGTTTTTAGGTGGACAGAGTAGGAGATAATCAGATAGGTTGGGAGTTCCAGAGCATGGGAGAAGCTCTGGAGAAGTCCTGGAGGTTAGCATGGAAGAAGGTGACTAGGGAGTTGGAGAGCAGGAGGTCTTGGGAGATGTGGAGAGGACAGTTTGGGTGATATTTTGAGACAATGTTGGTTATGTAGCTGGGGTCAAAGCTCTGGATTGCATTGTTTGTTGTTAGTATTTTATTCCTTGGGTGAGCTGAAGCGAGGGGGAAGCAAATAGGCAAGTAAGTTTGCCATTATGTGTAAGTATGCTGTGGAAGTTTACTTGCACATTATGGCATATGCTCCAGGGACCTGCTGCAGCTTTAGTTCTCTTTTAACAAAGTAATTTTACTATTGTAAAATTACAATAGTAAATGTCATTTTACTTTGTCATTTTATCAACATCTGTATGCACTTGCTATATTGCAGTGTGCTCAGAAGATTGTGGAACATAGGACATGCTCAAAAACTTGCAGAACACCATCTCCATTTCTAGGCTGAATGACAGGAGCACAGAGTGTGTGGACATTAGTCATTCACCATTTAGTTATTAGTCAGTGCTTACATTCAGAGCTGTATCATGAATTACTTATATTAAATCCCCCTTTAGCTTCTTCTCAGGAGTGTTTCTAATGTAGGTCTATTATGATTGGATTTTCAATTGCACCCATTGGGACGCAGCTTACTCATACACTGTTGACGTAAATGTGGACAGCAAAATTACATTTCACGGTATTATTATACCCACTGATTCTCCACAGCAAGTTTCTCCTTATTCATGTTTACCTTTGCAGATTGGCGGAGAACTGCTCCACTGTGAGGGGTGCCCTGGAATACATTTTAGGCTGTGCTCTCCCATCAGCATGTACCCCGTTCTGCAAGCAAATCTTACAGCATCCCCTGGTTGGTACACTCTCTTCTCTGGTTCCTGATGACCGTTCTCTGGTACTCCTGGGTTTACACATGGCTCATATTTTTCAGCTAGAAAAGACAGCAAAATTACCATCATTTTATTTTCTAATGCAATAAAAAAAATACCATTTACAAAGGCAGTACTGTATATAACATACTTGGTTTGTCTTTAGTGTCACTTAAAGTTTATAATATAAAATATAATTTTAGCTAACTGCAACAATCCTGTCTGCATCAGTGCAAAGATACCCGGCCCCGGATGGTGTGCGTATGTCCTCCCATAGGGAAGAACAGGCTGCTGCGTGCAATCACACAGCACCTGTCTCTCCCGGGAACGGCCCCAAACGGGCGTGGAAATGCCACACGGACGTGTACGGCGCGAGTTAACGCAGTGTGAATAAGGCCATAAACTGAAAATCCAGCAGCTGGGGATATCGAGTGCCGCAAATACAGGTGTATTTTACAATGTATACCTATATGCGTGTATTTGTGCCCATGTGCATGAGCCCTAATGTACTGGTGTCTAGGGCAGCAGAGTTAGAGGCACAGCATCAATTGCAACATTTAATCAATGTGTTTCCCTTTTGTCTTTTATTTTTTCCTTGTCACCTCTGGACATAAATCCAGAGAAAGACCTAAAAGCAACAAATCACAAGACTCTCTGCTGCTCAGACAACATCTCCTTTTATTTTTCAGGCTTTTGACTGGTGGACTATATGATGTGACAATGTAATTACCAGAATGCCCATGGCACTATGGTGGTGAGTCACACGGCCATTCACACTAAAGCGTGTTCTCACATGTTCTAACTTGCACTTACCTGGGTTGCAGACCAGCTGACCCAGTCCTTATGGAGTAGTAGAAGAAATAACACGTGTGTGCCTTGCGCTGTTGGCGGAAAATGAGTGACAGGAATCTGGAGCAGCGGATTAAAATTTTGTCTGAAAATTGGCAAATGTGCGAGTGAAACTTTAGCTTTTACAACAGACCTATGGTGAATATTCCATGAAGAAATCAAGTGTTTTTTAAGGGAGGGTGGGAAGATGTCCACAAAGACTGGAACTTTGGCCTGACAAGTGGATTCTCCACCACGACAATGCTCTAGCGCATGATGCATTAAGTGTTTGCGAGTTCCTGGCCCAGAAATCCTTTCCGAAACTTGATCAACCACCGTATTCCCCTGACTTAGCACCTTGCGACTTTTGGCTGTTTCCCAAATTCAAAAATGTCGTAAAGGAGAACTATGGGGTTAAGGCTTTTCCCCATATCTCCTTAGGGTAACGGGAGGACACAAATTCGCGTCCTCCCGTCACCCTAGGCTGTAGCTCGCAGTATACTGAGACGCCGCAGCTGAAGCGGATCCCGACAATTATGCCGGGATCCGCCCAGCTGCGTGACTGACAGCTGGCTCTGCCTATCTAGAGGCATAGCCAGCTGTACCCGCCCCCTCCCCCGTCCATTCCGCCAGTCAGCACTGGCGGATCGAAGCGGGGAGGGGGGAATCCAGCCCCTCCCCTGTCACGGCAGAGAGCCGTGACAGAATCGAGAGGTGAGTGAACGCGGGTATGTGTTCGCTCACCTCCCGATCTACTGAGCCGACCTGTGACAGTCTCATTGTCACAGGTCGGCTAGAACTATGAGGTGAGTGAAAAGCACTCACCTCATATTTCTCCTTTAAAAGGGCAGATATTTGATGACATTCCGGACATCCAGCGCACCGCAACAAAGAAACCGCACAGCGTTCCGGAATAGGGATTCCAGGAATGTTTCCGGCAGTGGCACAGTCATCTAGAAAAGTGCGTCGCTTCACAAGGTGACTACTTTGAAGGTGACAACAACTGCTAGTGTATAGGTAAGCAGAAATTTTTTTACAGTGCATTCCAGGCATTAAATTGTCACACCTCATACAATACAATTGATTTCCTGCATTTAAGACAGACTGCATGTTGCCTCCAAATGTATTTATTGGTTTTAATGTGCTTAATAATAAGATAAGTGTTTGAAGACTACACAGAGTAGTTATTCATGCATGTGTACTACATTAGCATTACCTTGTAATGATGCTTCAGGCATACATTGTTAACAGAATTACTGTTAACTAGCAAAAAGAAATGACATGGACAGGCATAGTGCTAGTTGCATTGCGACTTACGGACACACTTAGGGGGTCGGTCACTCCACTTGGGTACACCAGCCTGGCGGTTGTAGCAGTTTAGAGTTGGGCTACCTGTCAGAATGTAGCCTTTATCACACACATAGCGCACTGTACTGCCCACAGGGAACTTTGCATTAGAGAGAATCCTGCGACTGTGAGTTACATCACCCGGGTCTGAACAGGACGTCACTAGAAAAAGCACCAACATAGAATATTTATAAGCATGAAACAAACATCAACAGTTTAGCAAAGACTGATATTGCCCATATTTTTTTCAATTTAGCAGCCAGAAAACTTCCTACTAAAGTTTCACAAAATTTTACGTAGCATCTAATTTTAACATTAGTACACTGAGAGAAATGCATTTTGTAAAAACATATTAAATTTGTAAATGGAAACCATATTTACTTTGTGTGCACACTTGCTGCTGCCATTCCCACTGTATTGTAATTATGGTTTTAGATTGTCTTCTATCCTTCAATTAACTTCTTGATGGCAATGCAAAAGAATAAATAAGTAGAACTATCTGTGTATACCAGATTCTCATGTAATTATTACCATCTCATTGACAGTATGAAGAACAAGTCAGTAGGTGGAGCTGTGCTCACAGGGAGGAAAAAGACACATTCTGTATGTTCATCTGTTTTCACAATAACAGTTCAAATTTCTGATTGCTTATGTAAAATATAAGTGTTTCCAAATGATCCCTAACTAGACTGGGCATTAGATTGACAGGGTTAAAGGACCAGTAAACAAAATGCTGAAAGATGATTTTTAAAAATTACATGAATTGATAAATATGAGAAGAGATTATTAGAGATAAAGATGCTTGAGATATAGGAGACATGTGATATCTAACAGCCAGTTGTCAGTTAAAGGCTCCTCTGAAATAGCTGAACACTGGAGTACATTGTAATGAGCCAAAAAGCATGGAAACCTCACAGAAATCTTCATAGAAACATGCTGGGGAATACAGAGGCTGCCATTACTGACTTCTTGCTGGGAGATCTGGTTGTCTGTTAGTCATGCTGATCATGCGGCATCAATAATTCAAGTCACTGACTTATAATAAGCATGCAGCAAGTGCAGGAACTCTTGATCTACATACTCATTCCATGTAAATTACTCAGAAAGTTCTGAACCCATTAGATCAGCATGGCAGCAACTGGCTTTTCAGAAGCTAGAAGTCAGAAATGACAGCCTCTTAGCCCAGGTGTCCAATAAATCATATAAAGAATAGGATTCCTCCATTCCCACACCTCAGGATGTTCAGTTCAAACTGCAATCCACAATTTGTGCTTCTCTGTCTACAGAATACACCTTCTCTATCTATGGGATACACCTTCCCTAACACCTTCTCTATCTACAGAATATACCTTCTCTATCCATGGGATACACCACCTCTCTCTACAGAGTACACCTTCTCTATCTAAGGGATACACCTCCTCTTTCTACGAAATAACCTTCTCTATCCATGGGATCCACCTCCTCTTTTTACAGAATACACCTTCTCTATCTATGGGATACACCTCCTCTCTCTACGGAATACACCTTCTCTATCTATGGGATCCACCTCCTCTCTCTACTGAAAAAACCTTCTCTATCTATGGGATACACCTCCTCTCTTTACAGAATACACCTTCTCTATCTATGGGATACACCTCCTCTCTCTACAGAATACACCTTCTTTAGCTATGGGATACACCTCCTCTCTCTACGGAATACACCTTCTCTATCTATGGGATGCACCTCCTCTTTTTACAGAATACACCTTCTCTATCTATGGGATACACCTCCTCTCTCTACGCAATACACCTTCTCTAGCTATGGGATACACCTCCTCTCTCTACGGAATACACCTTCTCTAGCTATGGGATACACCTCCTCTCTCTACGAAATACACCTTCTCTATCTATGGGATCCACCTCCTCTTTTTACAGAATACACCTTCTCTATCTATGGGATACACCTCCTCTCTCTACGGAATACACCTTCTCAATCTATGGGATCCACCTCCTCTCTCTACGGAATACACCTTCTATAGCTATGGGATACACCTCCTCTCTCTACAGAATACACCTTCTCTAGCTATGGGATACACCTCCTCTTTCTACGGAATACACCTTCTCTAGCTATGGGATACACCTCCTCTCTCTACGGAATACACCTTCTCTATCTATGGGATCAAACTCCTCTTTTTACAGAATACACCTTCTCTATCTATGGGATACAATTCCTCTCTTTACAGAATACACCTTCTCTATCAATGGAATACACCTCCTCTGTCTACAGAGTACACCTTCTCTATATACAGAATACACCTGTTCTATCTATGAAATACACCGTCTCTATTTCGGGAATACACCTTCTATAACAACTTCTCTATCTCATGTAGTGATGGGCCGAACACCCTCATGTTCAGTTCGAATTCGGACTTTCGAACATGAAAAAAGTTTGAATTCGAACTCTAACTCATTGCAAGTCTATGGGGGTAGAACTTTGAAAATCAATTGACCCCATTTTGAAGGCTTATTTGCAAGTTAATGGCCATAAAAAGTGTATGGGGGTTCGGGTACTGCCCTAGGGGACATGAATCAATGAAAAAAACACTTTTAAAAAATAAAATTTTTAAAGGAGAAGTGATTTTAACCTCACTTAAAGTGAAACAATAAAAATGAAATATTCCTTTAAATATTGTGCCTGGGGGGTCCCCGTAAACTACCTGTAAAGTGGCTCATCTGTACAATGTATAGAACCTGCTGCAGCAAAAATGAAATTTTTAAAGAACAAAATGACATTTGAAAAGAAAAAAAAAAAGCGTGAGGTTCCCCCTCCCAAACAATACAAGACCCTTTACGTCTGGTAGGAAAGGATCCCATGAAAAAAAAACAACAAAAAAGTGTGTAGGATTCCCCCTTAAAGTCATTTCAGGCCATTAAGATCTGGTAGGAAATTTAAGGAGGAACCCCATATCAGACCCTTGATCCGAACACAGGCCTGGCAGGCCAGGAAAGGGGGGGGATGGGGGACAGGTAAGCGCCTCCCTCCCGTGATACCAGGCCACATGCCCTTGGCACTGGGAGTGTGCTTTCCCAGGGTCGCCCCGATGAGGACAAGGGCCTCTTCCCCACAAGCCCTGGGGCATTGGTTGTGGGGGTGTGGGCAGGGGTGCTTATTCACATCAGTGTACCCCTTTAATAAAGGGGAACCCAGATCAGCTGACCCTACGGCTAGATCCTGCGGCTTAATAGTGAATAACAATCTGAGTGTTGCTGTATAGCCGACTGCAAGATGGTGATGCCAATTCAAATTCAGGTTCTTACATCAGTTGCATTAAAATTTAATTTAATAATGTATAAATTAATAAATAGCTGCATCAGTGTCTTTCATATCTGCTTGTAGGTATCATGGGACAATTATATAAAACTCTGAATTAGTTACATAGTGTAGGCTGTCTGCCCATGTGTTCCCTTAGGCATGTAAACTAAAATATAACTGTGTATCAAGTTTGGATATAATAACCCAAGAAGGGGTGGAACTTACATAATTGAAATACAGCTACAGCTTTTCTTTAGGAATCAGCATCCTTTTCTAAAATAGTTTGAAATGTTTAAAAATAGATTTTGTCAATTAGATTTCTGTACCTTGTAAAAGCTGTATAATGAAATGTATAATGATGAAAGCAGGCTTCACAATAATGAGACATAGAAAACACTGGGACTTCATTTATTTTAACTTCTCAGACTGGCTAAGGTGCCACAAGGAAAGAAGAAGGCTGCATGTGGGCCAAAAACACCAGTTTAAAATGACTGCCTTAACAGCATTAGCAGTTTGTGGAATAATTTTACTTTTACCTTTACGCGGAGAGCAACGATGTTCAGTGGAAGTATCACACTGTGTCTTCTCTACCGCCTGTTAAAAGAGCAGCTGAAGATTGATACATCCAGGCTGTGGGATCAATAATATTTTACTGTATTTGTCTCCGGTGTGCTCTGAACTCTGTTGTTTTATAAGCTCGAAAATTAGGCTTTATTTGGCACAGTGTCTGCACACTACCGAGCTTCAGATTGCCCAGCTTTAAAATATACTGATTTATCTTCTTATTTTGTGGCTCCTGACTATTCTTAATTCTTATTTAAAGGGAAGAATACAGCCGTATATATCACTCAGAAGAGCCAAGACCCTATTGGGGATTAAACGCAAGCCTGGTGTAAAAGATATTTCAGCCCAGATGGCCAGACCTGTGTTGTAGTGGGACTATGAACAATGCTATGGCATTAGTGCCGTATGTACAGGGTGTTCAGAAGCTCTCAGACACTTTAGGCTGGATAAGGTCCAGCCTGCCACCCACAATAACCTACAGTTGTTAAACAGCAACTACAGCCAATTCAACAAATTAGTCCAAAATACAGCAGCTGCGCTAATATTAGTATGTTAACCTGAGTATTATGTAATCTCTTAGATTAAGAAAGCGTGTATATCTGTGTATACTCCAAACAGCCTAAATACCGACAAAAAAGGGGTGCTTACTGAAGAAAAATGGTGGATGGTGCCACCATGGAGATCAAGTAGCAGAGATAACATCCAATTGCTCAGTGTGCACGTTTAATAATCACATACATAGTGACGTTTTGCAACCTCACAGGACTCCATAAGGCAACAATGACTTCACTTTTGCCTTATGGAGGCCCGCTTATTCGTAAACCCAGCCCTTTTAAGGTTTAAACTCTTTCCCTTTAATCCAAAATGAATGGCGGTTTCTACTTAAAGCGAACCCATACTTTGCTCATAGCTTGCAAGAAAAAAATAAAATGGAAATCAAAGAATAATAAATCAAAGAAGAACAGAAAAAAATGAAATGATAAAAAACAAGGGGTCATTTAGATTGGTAGAAGTAGTGTTTTATTTATATGGGGCTTAGTATTGAAAACAAGGCAAAGTTGCTCTTTAAATTCTAATCAAATTCTCGGTTATAGCAGTTGTACATTGTTTCGAAATATCACTGCACGTTCTAATAAGCACCAAAGTTTGACCACACTGCCCAATGCACTGTATAATGTAACAGATCTGGCCAGACATGCCCTCCCTCTTCCTTCAGGTGTGAGAACACTTGTGCTGAGGGGTGTGGTTGTTACTCAGCTATACCAGCACAGAGGAGTGGAGTGTGAGAGCAAGAAGCAAATTTCCAC